CATGCCATTAGTTGAGCTATGCTGTCCACCCCTATTTGATTAATGAGCTGACCCAGAGTCACTACAGGGTAGTATAGTAGTTAACAACACACTCCTATCTCCTGTCATCCTGGTTCCCGGGCCTCTCATTAGTTTATATAGACTATATAAACTAATGAGAGGCCCGGGAAGAAGGATGATCTCCTGTGCCCTTCTCAAAACATATTACTTATCCTTTTACTGAACAGAACAGAATAGAACCGACATTTTATTCTCAAAAATCACATATAGTGACACAGGGAACATACAGCATATTGTAAATATTATAACATTGAACAAAGTCCAGTTTTGATAAATTTGGCAACTTTAGAGTTAAGCGGTGAATAATCACTTTTCATTAGATAAACAATTTTTTCAATAGTAGGATGTTTACAGAACTAATAATACATGAAGATCATCACAGACATCTAACTTCACACTATGCATAAGCTCACCTCAATAAGCTTATTTACATGTTCGAGGCCAGTTACATCATGTTCATAAAGAAAACACTCAAGATCATGCACGTATAAATAACTGGAGAATAGAACGATTTTATAACAGTAGTTGAATTAGTGTTTGCAAATAACTGGAGAACAGGATGTTTTTAGTACTAAGATTATTTGAAGATGAAAGTGAAATAGTATTTATAAAATTCAGTATAAACAAAGTATTTAACTGGTGAACAGGATGTTTTCTAATAGTTATTTTTCACATGGCTTTTTTCCTATGACTTTTTTTCCGATCACCCTTCTAGATGGCTTCCTGTATGCCAAGAACAGGGTGAAAGGACAAACATGATGATGTTCAAATGACTTTCTAATAAGTCTTATATGTGCACTGACAAACATGTGACGTAAAATAATATGGTGCTTGGTCTCATATGTTTGATAGGTACATGTATATAAATTATTGTTTTTGATAAAATTTACAAGTAAATGTGATCTGGCAAATATGTGTTGATGTACATATATGGTGATGCAATATGTCTTAATTTAAAACTCATAATTGATTACATGAATTGATAAAACTATAGTTAATACCTAATGTTGTCTTTTTTATCTGGGCATATACCATTATTATCCAGGGTACAGCTTCATTAAGCCTTATGCAACCAACCATAAAATGTGTTGTTTTGAGCGGTCTGTCTTTTGGGAGGTCTGTCTTATGGGAAGTGAGTGAGTGAGTGAGTGTGGTTTTTACGCCGTTTTTAGCAATATTCCAGCAATATCACAGCGGGGGACACTACAAATGGGCTTCACACATTGTGCCCATGTGGGGAATCGAACCCGGGTCTTCGGCGTGACGAGCAAACGCTTTAACCACTAGGCTACCCCACCGCCCCTCTTATGGGAAGATACCTTATTACATGACCATTGAAACTCCCGTGAAAGCGGGTGAAAATGAACTGTGCGCATCCCTCTCCGCCCCTGATACTCCGGAATATTTACAGACCTCCGCCAACATCTACATGCAGGTGGCCGACTGTCATTCGTATCTTTATGCATATGCTTGCTACAGCGGATTATCCTATTGTGTGATCAGATAGGTGATAATGTTGTTATTCCGAACTTTATGGTCACTCTATCTCGACGGAATTATATAATATATTTTGTTGAAGGTCTTGATGCTAACGGCGTTTATGGGTGAGGTTCAGTATGAATTAGATTAACTGATCAGCTGGTATGTTGCCGCCTGTACACGTGGCACGTGGGATTTGATAAGGTGGGTGACACAAATAGCCGTAAATACAGATTAATGTATTAGGTCTTAAAGCTGTCACCTAACTCTATCTGACCAGCACAGTAGGAGATACTGGTCAGTTTGACCCTTGGCAGGTATGATATAATGTGACAGTCGGTTACATTGTTATATCTACAATTTCCAACCGCATGTCAGGTGATAATATTTGTAAATCTTAGTCCATTTTCCAAGCAAATACATTTGTATCGGCTACATGTTCAACATCACGTGCGGCTGCTTGAAAGCGACGTACAATTTAAAGAGAGAGAAGAAAATAGGTTATTAACGTGTCACGTTGTATACAATTGACATGTTAAAATCACATAAAATTCACAATTAAAAATGTAAAATGCCCAGTGACTATGAGACACGATAACAGCTTTAAATCCACATACAGATGTGAAAAGACAATTTAGACTAAAACGTTAAAGTATTAATAAACATTATGATAATTATTGACTGGGACTAAAATGCGTGTTTTCGTCTATTATACATTTGTGATATTAATGCGGCAAGAGGCTTCACAAATCTTTCATTTCGCAATAAGAAAATAAACTGGGCTTTTTGAAGACATTTGTGAAAATAGAGGGTAAATACGGGCGATATCCTGCCATAAATTGAATCTAATGTCAGAATAAGTCGCACTTAACGAGAAAGTGTACCTCATCTTCAACAGATTTGCTGCAACAAAATGTACAAATCCTGTCTTCTATAAAGACGTTTTCGGGCGTGTATACCTGCCTATAGTTCTATCTCAAGAGGCAAAGTGCCACAGAGAAGCTAACTCAGCACACTACGTTGGGATCTTGTTAACAGTGAGGTGACATACTGTTCTGGCTTTAATAGTTTCTTAAATAACCGATAAGTAAGTAATTTATTTCCGTTTAGTTGAGCACGGTCGTTATATACTAGCCACATAAAGAAACTGTGCATTGTTAAAATATTATCAAGCCAGTATAAAAGTACGATAACAATGTCAAAGGTACATATACACTTTAATGGAGGGATCATGAGACCATAACATGTCGGGAGAATTGCAATTGAAAAGTCAATCACAATGACGTCACGAGTCCACAAGCGGGAGAGGGGTTAAACGACCATGTCACAAGCTCAATAACGGGTATGTCCACCATCGGCATTGAGAACAGCAGTGCATCGACGACGCATAGAGCCTACCAAACGTGCAAGGAAGGCTTGTGGGATGTCACTGTTGCAAGGTCAAGGACGTTATCTGGCGGATGAGGAAGATGGTGTAGACGTCGATCCATCTCGTCCCAAACATGCTCTATCGGGGAGAGATCCGGTGAATTTGCAGGCCAAGGCAGTAAGTCAACGTTGTGGTGTTGCAAGAAATCCATAGCAACCCTTGCCGTATGAGGGCGGGCATTGTCCTGTTGGAATATTAAGCCAGGGCCTTGACGTTGCAGAAAAGGAATTGCCACAGGTCGAAGAATCTGATCCCTGTAGCCCACACCAGTTCAGTTGCCCTGAACAATCACCAAAGGAGTTCTTTGGCGTGCTGTTATTCCACCCCAAATCATCACGGAACCACCACCAAAGCGATTCCTCTCCAAGACACAGGCCTGTGCATAACGTTCTCCCACGCGTCTATAGGCACGTTGACGTCCATCACTATGGGAAATGTTAAACCTGGACTCATCTGTAAAACAACATTTCTCCACCAAACAATGGTCTGCGGACATGAATTCGGCACCACATTCGGCGAGCTTGCCGATGACGTTGTGTCAGGATAGGCCGTATGGTGGGACGTCGTGGTCTGATCCCGTGATGACGTAAACGTTGTCGAACTGTGTTGGGGTGGATACGGCGAAGTCTGGGATGGTTCGGGCAGTCGCACTGCAGTCAGTGGCGAAGATGGGTCACCCTTATCCATGTCCTGTCTTGACTTCTGTCCTGCACTACATTTGGTCTCCCCCTAGGCAAGTGAGTTTGTTCAAAACGTGCCTCCATTCACCCAGCGTGAATGGGTACCCGATGGGATAAATCATATGACTGTTAACCTTCTCAAAGTCATCTTGGGTTAACAGGGATAATAGTGTCTTTGCGCTTTGAGCATGCACAAGTGCGTGGATACAAGCGCTATTGAATGTCCATCAATAAACACTGCAGTACAGAGCCATCAGACATACCTGGGTGTAAGATGTTCTGGGAGGAGACTAGCATACGTCACTTACATTCCTCTCTACTCGAGACGAGCGTTGTTACATCGTTTAATGGCTTTAACAAGATAAAGACGATAGAGTTTATATTGTTAACGTCCTATTGTAATGTTGTGAAATATATGAGCGAAAAATGTAGGATATTTATAACAAAATGTTCTCGGCGGTTTGTGATTGACACTTGTTGTGTACACAGAGAGTTGTTATATCAGTTCTCAATACAAATATATGAATACATAAATAAATTTCATCCACCAACATATACATGTGAAATCCACTGTTCCCTCCGCCAGACTGACTACCTGACTGACCGAGTTTGGTTTTACGCCGCTTTTAGCAATATTCCAGCAACATCACGGAGGGGAGCACCAGAAATGGGCTTCACACATTGTACCCATGTGGGGATTCGAACCTGGTTCTTCGGCGTGACGAGCCAACGCTTTAATCACTAGGCTACCCCACCGCCCCATCTCCGCCAGACGTCACTGTTAAACAATATAGGTGTTGGATAGGTTGATTTAATAACAATATAACTCCAACAGCCCGGAAACTGCGCTTTGCGAACAAATAATGCTTGAAACCTCCAAAGAGACACTTCTCCGTGACCATAGTTGGTTGATTCCGGTTTTATTTTCTAATCAGTTCGACTGGGAGAGCACAGTCCGGTTTAATGGACTTTGAAAGCAATATCAATCTTGCTTCTTCCCGTCCAACTGTGCAAGCTGGGACTATAATTAACTGATGTGCGTCCATTTGCTGCAACTAAGAGTAACTAAAATTTGGCTGCCACCTGGAAGGCCGAACAGTATTTGTTTGTTGTTTAATGCTGCACAAATTTCAGCTATATATGACAGAGTTCTGTAAATAATTGAGTCTGCACAAGTCAATCCAGTGCTTGACATCGTGAGCATCGATCTACGTAACTGGGATATGATGACATGTATCAACCAGGTCAGTGAGCCTGACACTCGATCCGTTAGTCGTCACCTCCGGACAGCAGAAATAAAAATGCGACAACAGAGTCGAAAATAGTTTCATTCTATGAACAACCAGTATATATATTAAAAACGGGACATTCTGCGGGAAATGAAGCTTGGACGGTATCAGTCCCGTCCATTGGATATATGAGACAACATGGCGGAAATCTCCCTGGCCAGAGACTCTGAGGTAGCTACCAGCACACGTCTGCCCATCAGATCCAGCTCGGAACCTGTAGACAGAGAATGTTGCATATTAACACCGTAACAGATTTCTGTGATGAATGCAGATGAAGCATGTCATGGAAATAGCTTAACGACAATCTGTACATAATCACCGGAAGCTTATCTTTTCACGGAAGCCTCGTGTGCTGTCGCACGAAGCAACCTTATTGCTACGACTGTTGCAAGTCTATGTTAAGGCCATACAAGTTTTTAAAATACGTTGCACAAAATGTAAATTGATTAATAATTGGATTACACTGAATATCTTTTAAACATGAAGACATTGATCGAGGCAGTGAAGATTTTTTAGGGTATCGGTCCTATACATTGGATCTATGGGACAACATGGCGGGCATTCCCCTGGCCAGACCCAGAGGTAGCTAAAATCATAAATCAGTTGTTTACAAATGTAAGCTTCTGAAACTTGTCAAAGGCTTTGAACTGGGTCCATTCTCTTATCTCCATCTTTGAATCTTTCAAAACAAAACGACACGATTGGTATCATACCAAACTGACTTTTACAATAACGACCTTAAGAAAATGACATTGACCTACGATTAACTAAGCGCTAATATGCCTGCACCCGGGGCACTGTATCACACCTCACTTCTCTAAAAATATATTGCATTTTTATCAATAAAACTTACTATCAGCCCTCGGGGAAGCTATCATATAATGTATTAAAAAGAAATACGTATTAAGATTACAATATTTAATCAAAAAGTTCAAATCAATTAATACAACGTTGCATTAAATCGACTCTCGCCCTCTACCGGCCGAACTTTATTCAAGCGAACCCCATAGAGTTATGTCCCTTGGAGCGCTCTTACGAATACTTTATGCACAACTTGTGATTGAAACCAGTTCGGCAAACACATTCAATACCGCGTGCGACAGTTTTGATGTACGGAGCAATTCTTTACATTCCATAATTGGGAAGTGTTCTTTGTTTGGAAGCTGTTCGAATCGTTGTTTCAGTTATCGATTTCAGACGAGTCGTAAGGGATAATCAGCCTTTTATTACATCAATAGGAAGCTAAAGTGAGTGCATATGCCCATATACATACATGTATAATATAGGCCAAAATGTTGTCGAAAATGTGTGCTATTGTGCCTTTAACTTCATCACGGCTTGACAGTCTGATGTGGGTGAAAAGCCCGAAATCATGTAGGTCTAAAACTTTGTTGAATCACACGCACCGGGTGTGGCGCTGACAAAACCTATAACTTGATTCAGAGTAAACTGGCGTTCGAACCCAAGAGTATCTGAGTTAGTGAGTGAGTATGGTTTTACGCCGATGTTAGCAATATTCCAGCAACATCACGGCGGAGCACACCAGAAATGGGCTTCACACATTGTACCCATGTGGGGAATCGAACCCGGACCTTGGGCGCGACGAGCGAACGCTTTAAAAACTAGGCTAGCCCACCGCCCCTAAGAGTATCTGACGACACTGCGCTGCGAATTTCAGCGCCGTGGACGACCGGGCCACCTATTCCCAGTGAAGCGGCGTTAACCCACGCACTATTTGGATTCCGTGACACACCAACACGAGCCTGTATATAGTTATTACCCCACTCGGGGCGGTGGGGTAGCCTAGTGGTTAAAGCGTTAGCTCGTCACGCCGAAGGCCCGGGGTCGAATCCCCACATGGGTACAATGTGTGAAGCCCATTTCTGGTGTCCCCGGCCGTGATGTTGCTGGAATATTGCTAAAAGCGGCGTAAAACCGTACTCAGTCAGTCAGTCAGTATTACCCCACTCACTCTAAAGAGCCCGTGAACCACCAACACGTTTTACCAAAATCGGTAGGTAAAAACACTGTAAGGAGTCGGTGAACCTCCTCCCCGAGCCTCTATAACAATGTTAACCCTCTCAGTGTAAAGATTCCGAGAACCACCTACCCGTGCCTCTATAAGAGTGTTAACCCTCTCACTGTAAGAAGTCCGTGAACCACCTACCCGTGCCTCTATAAGAGTGTTAACCCTCTCACTGTAAGAAGCCCGTGAACCACCTAACCGCGCCTCTCTAACAGTGTTAACCCTCTCACTGTAAGAAGCCTGTGAACCACCTACCCGTGCCTCTATAAGAGTGTTAACCCTCTCACTGTAAGAAGTCCGTGAACCACCTACCCGTGCCTCTATAAGAGTGTTAACCCTCTCACTGTAAGAAGCCCGTGAACCCCCTAACCGCGCCTCTCTAACAGTGTTAACCCTCTCACTGTAAGAAGCCTGTGAACCACCTACCCGTGCCTCTATAAGAGTGTTAACCCTCTCACTGTAAGAAGTCCGTGAACCACCTACCCGTGCCTCTATAAGAGTGTTAACCCTCTCACTGTAAGAAGCCTGTGAACCACCTAACCGCGCCTCTCTAACAATGTTAACCCTCTCACTGTAAGAAGCCCGTGAACCCCCTAACCGCGCCTCTCTAACAGTGTTAACCTTCTCACTGTAAGAAGCCTGTGAACCACCTAACCGCGCCTCTCTAACAGTGTTAACCCTCTCACTGTAAGAAGCCCGTGAACCCCCTAACCGCGCCTCTCTAACAGTGTTAACCCTCTCACTGTAAGAAGCCTGTGAACCACCTACCCGTGGGATCCATGACAGTGGCCCCCGCCTCCCGAACTAAGACCACGCCGGCCGCCATATCCCAGCAGTGTAAATCATACTGGACATACACTTCCCCTTGACCACTGGCAAGTTTACACAAATCAATCGCCGTCGACCCGTACGCACGCAACCTGAAAAACACAAGTCCTAATGATCATTGAATGGCACAAGTTTGCATAACATATACGAATGTTAAATGCAATGATAAGAAAACGTACGATGGTAGTTCATTATAACCATATACTCGGTCAGTTCCCAAAGAAATGTTCTGGCATCAAATATTCTATAATATCCCTTGGGAAATTGAAAGGCACAACGCATCTCCTAACAAAGAAATATATACATTTATAACTGTAAAAGAACAAAGTCTTTTTAGCTTATATATGATGATAGTAAAATGAGAGAGCCACGCCACCTGACGATGGTGCCAGTATTTTGATTGGTCAGTTTTACCTGCCTCGATGACGTCACGCTAAAAATAGATATGGTTGTCTCTAACACAGCTCTAGCTGAACTTGGCAATGCCTGGTGTTTATGTACAGTCTCACCACGTTAACATGCTCGTGTATGCTTATGGGCTATGGAGGTCATAGCAAATTGGTTCAACACTATCGGTACACATCTGATGTACACTACTGCTCGCGGCGTACGGTGAGATCGAAACAAGGTCACACAGTCGGCCAGTCATAGCCTGTGTAAACCGATCGCTTCTGAACGAAACATGGTTTCTTATTAAAACATATGCAATTTATTTTTATATCATTTCTCCGACAACCATGCCCGTGGAAGGATGGAAAGAGTATTTGTCCAGCATTTACTTTAATCCCAAACACCCAGCCTCCTTCTCAGGTTCAACTAAGTTATATCACGTGGTGAAAAAGGAAGGGAAATTTGACATCAGTTTACATCACATCAAGAAGTGGCTCGCTTCTCAAGATGTTTATTCACTTCAGCGACCTCTTAGATACAAGTTCAAGCGGAACAGAGTGATCTCAACTGGTTTGAACGATCGGTGGGATATTGATTTGGCCGATGTTTCGAATATAGCTTCGGATAATGACCGTGTGAAATACTTATTGATAGCTATCAATGTATTCACACGATTTCTATGGGTGGAACCCCTTAAAAATAAAACACAAGACGCAGTCCTTAAGGCCATGAAGAAGATATTTGCTCGTGCTACTCTTCCACACATTATCAGATCCGACAAAGATAGTATTATGTATGGTTGATTTCTTCTTTCTCAACATGATTCAATCGTCATACACAAGCTATAGTTATTATTATAACCTTGAGATGTAGAAGCACACCCAGTAATAACACAACCAAAGATGAAAGTCAATATCTTTATTTCATGAACACAAACACAATATTGTAATCATAACATATTCAAGAATTGAATATACATTTGTCAAATAGCACAATGAACAATCAGTCAATGGACATGTCATGGTTTAACTGTCTATACATGTTACAAAGCTAATGGTGTTTTAAAGCTGAGAGGCATATAGAGAGCCTTATCCAGCTATGTATTACACAAATCAAACATCAACTGTACAGATGGTCAAAAGGATCTGCTCTAGCAAAACTATGTACATATTGACATTCTCCAGTTCTAAGCAAGAGAAAAACAAAAAACAAAAACAAAAAAAAAACAAAACTTGTAGCTACAGTATGGGTTAGCTAGGTACATCAACAATACATAAATACACCTGAGAAGAGAGGTATGAAATGGCTTTCCCCAATATACATATTTATGAAAGAATTACAAGTCTGAATCTAACTTAATCTTGTAATGGCCATGGGCTAGTGTGTGGATCCCATCCTTTAACACAAAACGTTTGTCATCAAAAGGGGAAAGACTGATTTTGTTGATGCAAGCAGTGTACAGCTGATGGCTTTTACTCTGAATTTGTCTTGACACTGTTTGTACAGTTCAAACAGTTGTACAAACAGTGTCTTTTTGACAAGGTACAATTCAGACATGAGGTGGGACAAATTCAGAGTAAAAGCCATCAGCTGTACACTGCTTGCATCAACAAAATCAGTCTTTCCCCTTTTGATGACAAACGTTTTGTGTTAAAGGATGGGATCCACACACTAGCCCATGGCCATTACAAGATTAAGTTAGATTCAGACTTGTAATTCTTTCATAAATATGTATATTGGGGAAAGCCATTTCATACCTCTCTTCTCAGGTGTATTTATGTATTGTTGATGTACCTAGCTAACCCATACTGTAGCTACAAGTTTTGTTTTTTGTTTTGTTTTTGTTTTTTGGTTTTTCTTGCTTAGAACTGGAGAATGTCAATATGTACATAGTTTTGCTAGAGCAGATCCTTTTTGACCATCTGTACAGTTGATGTTTGATTTGTGTAATACATAGCTGGATAAGGCTCTATATGCGCCTCAGCTTTAAAACACCATTAGCTTTGTAACATGTATAGACAGTTAAACCATGACATGTCCATTGACTGATTGTTCATTGTGCTATTTGACAAATGTATATTCAATTCTTGAATATGTTATGATTACAATATTGTGTTTGTGTTCATGAAATAAAGATATTGACTTTCATCTTTGGTTGTGTTATTACTGGGTGTGCTTCTACATCTCAAGGTTATAATAATAACTATAGCTTGTGTATGACGATTGAATCATGTTGAGAAAGAAGAAATCAACCATACATAATACTATTTACACACTTTATTACATATATACATTAATACACTTTGACCATGAGACATATACATTGATATATTGGATACAGTTTTAATTCATATGTGTATTCATATTAGACACAGGACGCATCCATATATGATACAAAGAATGTGGAGTTCACAGTTCATCATGATCTGTATCATCATGCTCAGACATGTCAACAAGTTCTAAATCTTCAGCCTGGCTCAAGTCCACATGAGAGAGAATATCTTTCACGACAGGTTTCATCCACTGAGTGATTTTAGCATCCATTTCTTTGGGGTCCATGTCAGGGTCCAGGGCTGTGATTTTCTCTAATATAGGCTTGAAGAGGGGTCCATATCCAAAATAACTGGCATAACGAACGGCTATCGCAAGTCTATCAAGAAAAGTAGTTTGCCAGCATTTGTAGTTGTTTCTCAATCCATCGTTCATTCTTTCCTTTATCCTCAAAGTCCTCCTTTTTCTTCCAGATGTCCTCCTTACAAGCTTTCAAAGTTTGTTCCCACATGTATTCTAACCCTTTCACTTCTCTCTCTTGATCAACTTTAGTACCTGTCTCTACTGGACGAAGGATATCATTCTTAGTATCATCAGCTGCATCCAGTTTTACTCGCTTCTGCAGAGGCTCGCCGTCATTCTCAGGACACCAGGTCCTAACATGACGTTGAAGGTCATGATTGTTTTCAAATACAATACCACACTCGTCACAGGAAGGCATGTTATCGTCTTCTGAGTAAAGAGTGTTCGCCACTACCTCAGAGATGTTATCTATCTGAGTGTCTGGAGTCAAATGACACGGTGGCTCAAGTTGCTCCTCTTTTGTAGACCGGATCCCAGTCTCGCTTTGTCTTGATTCTGGTGCGGGATATGGTATGTATCCTTTTGGTATTTCTGGGACTGAGGGTATGTCTGCTTTTGTGACTACATTAGGTTGTAGTCTATCTGATTCAAGACTGGTGGGTCGTAGGTCGATAGTCAGATTGCCATAGGGCTTTTGAACAGCTGTCTCATACACTGACATAAACCTATCAGCATTGTTGGGGTAGATACGTCTGGCAAACAATTGGACTTGTAGTCTATCCACAGGAGAGTTAAATAGAGTCACATAGTGGGAATTCAGAGCGATGTCACGTGACTCCTTCCCCCGCGGAAATAAATTTTGTAGCAGCAGAAAGACAATAACATTTTTGTGATGAGAAGTTCGTGTAAATAACTGACTGACACGTTTATCATCCTTAGCTTCACACATCATGTCATCCAACACCATCATGTTGTTATTTCTAGCATCCAAGTAGGTATCGTCAAGTACATTGTAAGGAATTCCTTTCACAAACTTCACATGGGGCAACTGTTCACTGATCACCTGGTACAGGGGCTGCCATTGGGTATAGCACCAGATAATGTGATTAGGTGCTGGCTGTATACATCCCTTCGTGAGAAGGTTGTAGATAAACATAGATTTGCCACTGCCAGTAGGGCCCACAACAATTGCATTAGAGGGGATGGTAAACTTGAAATGTTCTTTATCATTGAATTGATTGTGGTTTTGCTGTTGCTTATGCATTGAGTTATGCGGCGGCGACAGTAATTGTGTCTGCGGCGGCGGTAATTGTGTCTGCGGCGGCGGTAATTGTGTCTTCGGCGGCGGGGGTAATTGCGTCCGCGGCGGCGGCGGCGGCGGCGGTGGATTTTCATAATCAATAATGTGCTTATGTCTCCTGTGTCTCAGCATAACATCCCTCCTTGAAAACCGTCTCTGACAATCGGGACATGTTGCTTCCATGGTGGTTCTGTATCCAATGAGAAGTGCATCACATCTATCCTTATTTATAAACCCTGGAGGTCCTGCTCTGGGATCCAGCTGTTAAATTTCTTAGGATAACCCATCCATTTAACATACACCTCTTTTCTACCAGCTCTCTTCCTCTTCTTCAAGACTTTCTCAACACGCCACATGGTGTCTGCAGAATTATAGACTTTCTGAAGTTCACTCGTATAAAATGTACCTGTGACTGGATCCTCAGCCAGGTCCTTGACTTTATAGACTGGTATCCCATCCCTGTAGTATCGTCTGCTAACAATAAAGATTTCCTCCGTCCATTTCTCCTGATAGTCACGTTGAAAGACATGTCTCAAATGTGACAGTCGCACCTGATCCCCTTCTTTGAATTTAAAGGCTTTCCGTCTTCTTTCATTAATCTTCTCTGCTTTGGGTTTGACTTGTTTGTGCAGTGGATCAATGTACTGTTCATTCCAAACAACAGATTCATTGTTTGCGTTGATATCAATGGGTGAACGTTCATTCAGCGATCTATGAGGTCTCTGGTTATAATCATTCACCAAGTCTTGCAAAACATCAATATAATGGTATGATTGTTTGTAAGTAAAGTATCTGTACATAGTCGCCTTAAGGGTTCGTATGACTCTCTCGGCATAAGATGCTTTGGTTTCATTCTGAGTGACATAGTAGGTAATACCCTTGTTTGCTAAATATGATCTCACTTTCTTGTTATCAAATTCACGACCTTTGTCGGATCTGATAATGTGTGGAAGAGTAGCACGAGCAAATATCTTCTTCATGGCCTTAAGGACTGCGTCTTGTGTTTTATTTTTAAGGGGTTCCACCCATAGAAATCGTGTGAATACATTGATAGCTATCAATAAGTATTTCACACGGTCATTATCCGAAGCTATATTCGAAACATCGGCCAAATCAATATCCCACCGATCGTTCAAACCAGTTGAGATCACTCTGTTCCGCTTGAACTTGTATCTAAGAGGTCGCTGAAGTGAATAAACATCTTGAGAAGCGAGCCACTTCTTGATGTGATGTAAACTGATGTCAAATTTCCCTTCCTTTTTCACCACGTGATATAACTTAGTTGAACCTGAGAAGGAGGCTGGGTGATGGTCTTGACATTTGTCATTATTACTCCATGCCTGGGTTCTGTCTGGATGCTGCCATGAAAATCACAGATGCCAAACTTGATCTGTTCACTGATGTTGACACTTACAATTTTATTGAAAATTCCATTCGTGGCGGTGTGTCTATGATTAGCAAGAAATATGCAGTTGCTAACAATCATCACCTATCAGATTTTGTTCCTATGATAGACACCTCCTTTCTTCTCTACTTTGATGTTAACTCCCTCTATGCAACTGTCATGTTACAACCCCTCCCCATTGGAAACTATCAGTTCATCAGTTCTGAGGGAGGAATGACAGCATTGACTGGTCAACTGTAGATACACAAGGAGATACAGGCTACATCCTTGAAGTGGATTTGTTGTATCCCAAACAGTTACACAAAGCTCATGCTGCTTTTCAATGGCTCCTACACATGATGATATTCCCCTACGATGAGTTTTCACCTGCTCACCAGGAACTGTTATCACATTTTAACTCAGCCAAAGAAATCGTCCGGTAAAAACTTTTCACTACTCTGAAAGATCGTTCCCACTACGTGGTTCACTTCAAAACGTTGCAGCTGTATCTGAGACATGGATTGATATGTACAAAATACACAGAGTGCTCAAATTTGGAGACAAGGAGCATGGCTGAAACCTTACATTGATCTTAATTTGGCTAACCGCAAAAATGCTAAGGATGAATGTGATAAAGATCGGTATAAACTCATGAACAATTGTGTGTTTGGACGGTTCTGCATGAATAAACGAAAACATAAAACAGTTCAGTTGGTGACACAGAGGTCCAAACTTCGAAAATGTGTAGCTAAAAGTAACTTCAAGCAGGTCAAAATATTTTCAGAAGACGTGACTGTGGTAGAGTTGGAGAAATTATCCGTACATTTAGACCAGCCCATTGCAGTTGGTTTCACCATCTTGGATTTAGCCAAATATGAAATTTACTCCTTCTTTTATGATGTCATGCAAAGACAGTATGGACCAGAAAGACTTGACCTTTTGATGACAGACACGGACAGTTTGTTCATGCATGTGCATGCACCTCCACATGAGCTCCTTTTGGATCCTTATGTGTTCATGAAACTCAATTCACATATGTTTGACACTTCAAACTATGCATCTGATGATCTCAAAGGGTTATATTCGGATAAAAATCGCAAGGTGACTGGTAAAATGAAGGATGAAGCAGGTGGGAGCATCATATTAGAGTTTGTAGGGTTAAAAAGTAAAATGTACTCTTTCCTGATGCAAAAATCAAAAAACGTCATTGAAAAAAAGACAGCCAAAGGCATTAAGAAATCAGTCATCAAGAAATTTCTCAGACATGGTATGTATAAACAATCATTATTTGATCAGAAGAGGTTCAGTTGTTCCTTTCACTTGATTCGATCACACAATAACACTTTGTACACAGAGAGGCAAAGCAAAGTGGCATTGACAACCAGTTGACAACAAGCGGTATCTGTTAGACGATGCTATTCACAGCGTCCCATATGGATATTCACCGAACTAAAACTTTGTATATACTCCCTATGTATGTGAAGACATCTTCACAGGAAAACAGTAGTCAGCAGGTATGTACTTCATTTACTCATTCACCATATATTTATTTGTTCATTTATCTGTCTATTTATTTAATTATTCATTTTATTCATTTGTTCATTTTCAGCATCAAAATGGATATATGAAGAGATATGTATACAGGTTGATCGATGTCAATGGTGAAACGCTGCGTGAAGGTCAAACCTTAAGAAGAACACGTATGGCAGCTTATCAAGCAGCACAGAGGGTTCTACAACGATTAATGGAACGAGGTGTTATCACTGCAAACACTGTGTTATCCTATGGAAGTGCATGAAATTTCCACCACAAGACAGTCTCTTGAGCGTGCACGTGACTTGAGACAAAATCGTCGGAAGTTTGAGTCTATTCCTGAAACTCTCTACCTGAATGAACTCCAGAGAAGTGTTACAAAACTGTGTCAAGACAATTGTTATGGATGTGAAGTTGATCATCCCTCACAAATTCACCACCAGTGTGTGATGATGGATAGTGCTGAAAAGGTGGACCTCTATTTTGAGGATGCTCTGAGTGGAATACCTCATCAGAACATTTTAGAAAGAGCACGACAACAACGTACACAACTCAGACTAGACTTCCATGACAGACATACCGTCTGTTATGAAAACATTGATTATTTGAATTCTGGTTTGCTTTCCAATATAGGGAAAAGAGACTAGAGATGCTAACCAAACTCAACATGAGTTTACCATAAACAAGACAAACTAGTCATTCAGTAATCCATTTTTTATTTCCTTGTACATAATATGTATAGAATGATGGATGTACATTAAAAAGGCTCGATTGTCCTTACTTTTGATGTACCTGGCACACCGTCAGATGCTTTGCGTTTTAAATATAAAGTATTTTTTACAGTTTTCTTCTTTTTGTCTTTCTTTTGTCTGCTTTTCATGAGATGTTTAGGAACATGCAAATGTCTTAAAAGTTTATAAAAAGTCACTAAATCCTACTGGATGGCGACTTTTAACACCTGCTTTCATGATAACAAAACGGATCAAGTCTACTATGTTCGAACCATGCAACACCTCACCATTAGGTAACACAAGTTGTAAATCTTCTGTCAGTCCTATTTGTCTGTTTAGAATGTTTTCTTTCACAAATATCCACAAAGTCATTAACTTGCCGATGGTTTTTGTAGACGAAATACCTCTAATGATCTGTTCAGGTACACGAAGCATGATGTCCATGTTATCCTTCACAACAGATGCATGTGCTTCTTCATCACCGCTGTCACTAGATCTATTATTATGATTCATAATCTTCAGATCTTGTTTCGTTGTCAGATGATCCTGAATCGGTGTCTGATTCACTGTCTGAGGAGGAATCTGTTCTTCTTGATTGTTCATCAACCTCTGGTAGGTCTCTCTTGTTAGAAGAACCATAGGCTTGCTCATAATGAATCGATGAGAGGTATGCTTGATAGGATCTTATGCAAATGGGAAGAACCGAATGATGCATCAGAATCAGCTGACGTTTCTCGCGGTTGCTAACTGTCTTGCTGGCTAAATATATATACCAAACTGTTGTTAAATTAATGGGGCGGTGGGGTAGCCTAATGGTTGCTCGACACGCCGAAGACCCGGGTTCGATTCCCCATATGGTTACAATGTGTGAAGCCCATTTCTGGTGTCCCCCGCCGTGATATTGCTGGAATATTGCTAAAGGCGGCGTAAAACTAAACTCACTCACTCACTGCTAAATTAATGAGCTCGAACTTTCAGCCTTCATAGCTCCGCTGTGACTAAGGGACATGTCCTACCCTCTACTGTGGGTGAGTATTTCGTGCAGGTTGCTGGAGTGGTTCCGCATGATGCTCTCGTCTCGCCCGTTACCCCCCTCTGACATCACCAGGGCTTGGCTCACTTCTGCAACAACATCAACATCGTCACCACGTACACTTCTTGACGCATACAACATATATTAACAAAACATGTGACATGTATGAAGTGAATATTAAATGTTGTCACGGTGATGTGCCCTATCTGAAAAACGAAGTTCTGTTGGGAAGTAGACCAGTAGGCTACAAAGTAGACAAACCTGTATCGAAACGTCGCACTCACGAAATAAAGAAGTTGTTATCCGTAGCGTCAGTCTGTCTATATTATTTTTATTAGTTATTTCATAGTTCGTGTGTGTGTGTGTGTATGTGTGCGCGTGCGTGCGTACGTGCGTGCGTGTGTCGGGGACATAGTCATTAAACCTTTGCGACTAAAATAACACAATATTGAAAAATATTTATCCTGATAAAATAATAGTTTCACATAAAATCCTTCTGATCCAAGCATCAAAATTGTTATTTTAGTCAAACGTTATTTTATTAGGCAGAGAAAGCGGATGCACAGCTGATTTCTATTTCCGGCTTAGTTTACGAGGAAATACACACGATAATCTTAATCTCAGTATACAAGACAACGCCCAGCAGATCAGGAGATATAATTTAAATGGAAAATCATTATATTTAGCAATGTTTATTCCCGTGTCATCTGGACAAAATAATCATGGTGATATTAAGGTAAATACGATTTATGTCAGGGCCCAGGTGTTGAATTGTAATGCGCCATGTCTGATCAATATGGGCGATAAGGGCCCGTGATTTTGCGTGTCTTTGCTACGCCATTTCATATTTCAATGCGCGTATGGCTCAAGGACGCGGTCCAAAATGATCCCTGCCTTGTGATCTTGTTCACAGTCTTGAATTTCATTTTTATCTTACATCAAATACCATATACTATATACAACACACTTGAACTCAAATACACATCGGTCAGGGGCGTAGCTACCATTATAACAAGTGTTTGCCACTGATATGGCAATGTCCCCCGCCGCTAAAGAATGGAATATCTATATTTACTACTTTATATTTTAGAGTCACACACAAGATGCCTGAAATGACAGGTGTCTGCATAATACCCAATGTAGGCTGTCAACATACTTGAAAACATTGGGTGCAATGTTTTATAAGATATCGCGTCAATAAGTTTGAAAAATTGTCAAAGTGTTGTGGTGACCTTGAAGATAAGTCACCCAAATCACCCAAATCAACTGGTGTCTGTGTAATCCCCCAATGTAGGCTGTCACCAAATTTGAAGACATTGGGTACAACAGTCCATGAGATATCGCGTTAACAAGAATCGGGACGTACCTACGGACGGACGCCGCTGAATACATGGTCCCCCGTTTCGCGTTGCGGCGGGGGACAAAAACAAGCCCGGGTTTACACTTGATTTTGAAAATGTAAGTTGGGCAAGCCCTCAACCCATTGGCGGATCCAGAGGGGAGGTTCGAACAAATGTTTTGCATTGGCGGAGCCAAGGTAGGGTTCTAGGGTTTCGGTTTATGATATGTTCAAGACGACTTATAATAGCTTTGGTACCTGTACCCTTTGTATTGTAGAATTGGAGTAACCACTGTGTCAGCTTTCAACATGAGTGAATTGTGACATTACTAGCCGCCGGAGCATCTGTTGGAAGAAATATGGTAACCTTTCTGTAGGGCAACCGGAGTGTTTTATGTCTGTTTGATAGTAAGTAATATCCTTCTCCAGAAATGATGTTACTGCTGTTTAACTCAGATATATTCCAGCTATCTGGCGGCGGTAAATAATGGAGACAATCCAGTGATCAACATCATGGGCATCGATCTACGCAATGGGGATACGATGTCATGGGGTAGCCTAGTGGTTAAAGCGTTTGCTCGTCACGCCAAAGATCCGGTTCGATTCCCCACATGGGTACAATGTGGGAGCCCATTTCTGGTGTCCTCCGCCGTGATATTGCTGAAATATTGCTAAAAGCAGCGTAAAACTATACTCGCTCGCTGTTTTGATAAGAATTTGAGAATCCTGTGGTCTTACCGTGAATCACATTTGCTGTTATTTTCTTCCCATTGCAGTAAGCTCCCTTCCCCGTTATTGCTGTGTACATCATGTCTGGTATGGGAAGGTAGATAACTCCTACTACTGGCTGCAACAAAGGTATTCTCCTTTCAAAACTACATGAAAAACATCGCAGACGCGTGACCTTCTTCCCTCGATACCGTAATGTTCATTGAGAGGGCGAACGTCCTTCAGGTTACGGAAAGGAACAGAACAGAACAGGATTTTATTCAGGTATAAGGGCCTCATGGCCTGGGAGTACCAAAAGTTAAAGGTCACATGCAACGTAAAACACAACTTTGCAGATTCTGATACCTTTCGGTATGGACTTACCGAAACAAAGCGTCAAAATGCAAATTCAACTTATAAAGTTGAAAATAACGCGATGAAAAACCGCGCGAAATCGGAGTTCATACGTTTCACTAATTTTCCCCAGACTTTTCTGGGGAATACGGGTTTCAACAGCTGGGCTGCGCTCATAGCACGTGCGCAGTGACATAGGTTCGCGCAACTTGGAAGCGGGCTGTCTGGTGAATACTCGGTGAAGGCTTTGGTGTGAGCTATTTTCATAATGTTTTGTTGATATCTCACAGGCGCGAGCTTTTTATATGTTATGACAGTAAATAAACTGTTTATATAATTTCATTTGTCTATTTCACCACACGTTCTTCTTACTGAGTCACTTTCTCAGTTCGATACTTAAAAGCAATGTCATTATTTAGCGTTGACACAATTTCTAACTGTGATATAGATATGTCGCTGTCACAGACAAAACTCAATGTCTTGTTTTATTGACACCTGTGTGTCTGCCTGCCTGTCTGCTAATGACAATATTCAATACACAACTGCGATCACTGACCACATGCAATTTGAACTTAACACCAATCAGGCTATACACCATAAACAAAACGCATTGATTTATGGCCCGAGTTCTGTCTCTGTCACATTATGTAATTACACAGACAGGCAGGTGTGATACTTTGAACACATGACATGTTATGATGTCTGTTGATTGCAAAATGTTATACACAAAATGAGCATGTATTTACAAAACCCAACATCTCTATATATACACACACAATGAGCCGTGAAGGCGGCATCTGCTAATGAACCAGCCGTTACACTTGAGTGCACACCCACCCGCTCTGACTGGGTTCGGTATCCCGGCTGCTTCGTTTCGAGGGAGGTAAACCAAGTACAAAATATTGCACTTTTGATTTGCGATTATACGCTTATAATTTTGTTTATTTGTTTTTCATAATCAGCAATGCATATTATATGTCATGAAGAAGTGATAATTGTGTTTTAATTATGTTTGATTTTTTTGGTTGCATGTGACCTTTAATTAAATACATTTAAGTATCACGTGACAGTGACGTTAGACGAAATTAAATACATTTCTAAAACATATGGCTACATTTTTAATAATTTTGACATTTTGGTACTCTATGCTATGCACATTTAGGTGAGATGGAATATATTTTTTAGCTGAATATTTCTCACAGACAAACATAACATGAAATTCATCTTCTAATGTCCCGATATTATAAATTTACAAAATTAATTACTCAAATCGTTATCTTTAGATTTACGATAATCGTTAACTCTAAGGTTGTGTAAAGAAATTCCTAAATTTACGAAATGCTCTGATTAAAGATATGTCATTCAAAATGGAGAATGTACATTTCAGGCTCTAAAAGAGAATTTAGACTACTATAATATCTTAAAACTTTCGGTTTTAATACTTGCGTGCCACGTTTGAAAGATATGTCTTTCAGACGTTGAGAGAAAATATTTAAGAAATAACGAAACATTGCCAACATCTTGGCTTATCCACATGTAAGAAAACCACATGTAAATAATAACATTCTTAAATCAGACACCTAACTACATTCATCCATTATTGTTAACATGTTATAACATTGGTGAGGGTAGCGATGATTTCTCATTCTAATTAACAATCCAATATTTAACAACACGCAACTGTGTAGTGGTTACGGAAAAGGAAAGTGGCGAGGAAGGGGAAAGTGGCAAGGAATGTTGATGTGTAACATGTCAGAATATCCCATTCGGCTACCGTCGTGACACAGGCGGTTACGAAAACTACCGAAATACAAAATACACAATCAAAATCTACACTGAAACATCTTTGAATGCACACCCAGCATCGAGTCAAAATACCATCGTATCATGCAACATTAAGTATTCAACCTACCTCCTTGTTAACTGTCAGACCTAATGAGAAGGCAAAGTCTGGAATGCTGTCTTAATATACAAGAGATTATAATAGAGGCGTGTAACGGGACTCACTGTTCAGCGTCTGAAATGAATCAATATGTGTAGCCACAGCCTTAATTAATAGTAATTAACTAATGGTCATGTAGAAGACATGAGTTCAACCATTTACAATTCTGAAAGAGGAGACTTTGGTGGGTGGGTTGATGGGTATTTAGGGATAGAGATTTTATCTATGCATAGCTGCAATCGTAACTACTCGTGTAGGCCGGATGGCGTAGGTCACGGGAAGAGGCGAAGTAGTTACGAAGGTGCATAACTGGTGTTACGGTACTGGGCCTCGATTTTCGAAGCTCTCTTAGCGCTAAGATAGTCGTAAAATGCCATTCATTAACATTAACTTACGACTATCTTAGCGCTAAGAGAGCTTCGAAAATCTAGGCCCAAGTTACGACCAGCCTGGTTTCCTTGGTATGTTGCGCTGACGCTTTACTGAAGCGCCAGCAGTGTAGCGCATGCGCAACATACACAGGGAACAGGTTGAGGTTACGTCACGTTTATAAAGCAAAGTCTCCACTGACTCGACGTCACTTGATGTGTTGTCGGGGTCCAGTCCGGAATGATATCCTTCTAATATATATATTATTATGGCACTGTAGCGTCCTCTGTCGTTTTCTTAAACGATATGGCATTAGGCAGTTCAGCATAACAACGTTTTACTGTAAATACATCTCGTTGGTTAAGCGAATGATTACACTGAAAATCTTAAGAACGTATTCATGAGAGAAGATCGACAAAATGTATACTAGCAAAGGCCATTCGCATTTAATTCACCCCTCGCATTAATTTCAAGATTTACAGTATATAGAGATTACTACACGAGTAGGGGTTTAAGTTCAGCGACGGTCGACGGACGAAGTGTCATAAAGTAAGCTCACAGGAGGAGCCGAAGGGAGCCGACAGATGTGATTGGAAGTAAAGTTTAAAACAGTGTATTGTGTGAAGCTGCCATATCGTTATAATGAGGTAAAGGAGTGGTGTCGTGAACATTCCGATAGTGCCATTCAGAATCGCGATAAAATGTTTTACCACATCCGAATTTGCTTAATGAACATAACACATAGTGAGTTTTTGTCCAACGCCTCTTAGAAGTATTGGGCAGACCTGGTTCCGATTCCCCACAAGAGGACAATGTGTGAAGCCTATTTCTGGTGTCCCCACCGTGCTGTTGCTCGAATATTGCTTGCGGCGGCGTAAAACTATACTCACTTCACTTGGAACTATGCTTTCGTTATGTCACAACATGTCAGTTTGACATGAAGCAATTCACAGGCGTTTCCATCTTAAGTACACCCGTGAAGATCCGGATAGAATTGGTGTTCAGTAACCCATGCTTGTCGTAAGAGGCGACAAACGGGATCGTTGTGGTCAGGTTGACACTGGCTTGGTTGACACATGTCATCGTATTCCAAATGGACAGACTGATGCTCATGCTGTTGATCACTGGATTGTCTGGTCCAGACTCGATTATTTACAGACCGCCGCCATATAGCTGGAATATTGCTGGGTGCAGCGTAAAACAACAAACCAAACCAAAACCATCTTATCCTCTTTGGTAAAACCCTCGAACACCGGTTTGGTGCAGACAAACCCAGACACATTATCAGAGCGAAGCTTTGGGTGATGTTAAATAAAACATCAATCATTCTCACCTTACCCGACGTCCTGGCAAGATCGATCGACTTGTCCAGAAAGCCTTGGAGATCTTCCTCCGAAACCTTGACCGACATCTCTGCGTCAGGCGATCCTGTAAGACCGGAGTCTCTTTTAATCATTTTGCCATGACGACATCTACTTTATCTGCTGCAAATATTTCATGTCAGTTATTTGCAAGTTCCGACGACGAAAATACAGCATCAGTTTTGTCATTTCACACTACAATGTCTTCATTGTTTTCATAGGTGAGGTGAAATTGGGTTTAACGTCGTATTTGAGAATATTTCGCTCATATGACGACGTGCATGTGTGTATGTGTATGTGCAGCTGCTTGTACTAGCCCAGACTGAAGCTGGTTTTATAGTGCTAGCACACTGAGATACCATGCTGCAGTGAAGCATGAATACCCCACTCAGACACAGCTCCGAACGCGTCCTACTGTTTCAATAATGGTTCAATGTTCGATGCGGCGACGTATAAACCTATACACAAATGATAACAAAGATTAAAATGGCAGTGAAATGTGTTATTTTCCTCATTGAAATTAATTTCTTTCGTTACGCTTCTCTTTATACCTGTTAAATTGGACGTCAATGTCGTTGGATGTCATCGTTTCGGGACGGAACCGTCCAATCAGTATATGAAACTTGTATAATACAACTATGGGAGGAGATTGGCTTCTCACTTCGTACCCACAAATCGAACCCAGATCTTCGGGCAGCAAGCAAATACTTTAACCAATACACCACAGCACCGCCCCTGAACATACCACCATGTGAATGAATACACAATGCCATTTAGAAAGTGGTCAAAAGTAACATATGTTATATTTATTATATCTCTGTGTATTAAATACTACTAATACAACGATTCGATGTTAAATCATGTTTCGTAATTTTGATCATACTTATCGAATCTAAGCCCCGATCCACAAAACGTTCGTAGCGCTACGACATTCGTAAGCCTATATATGATAAACTATAGAGTTACGACAGGTAATATTAACCTTGACACAAACGTCGCAGGGACCGCTGTGCCAGTATTGAATATGGTCCATGGAAATTTTTGAAAACAGTCTATCTATACATTTCTGAAACGTTATTTTATTACTGTGACGATTATGGCGGATTTAAGACTAATATCTTTTTCAGTCTACATCATGTTTACTTATTACGATTTGCTATATGTTTTCGTAAGAAAGGTCTAACTGTTCATTCCATGGAAGACTTCACCGCATCCTTCTCGTCTAGTTACGTAATGTTTGTCGACTCCCGCTACATGCTGTTTCATTCTACGCACGAAAACAAAATCCAGATAAATAGAAAAAACCGTAGTAGCCTCCCTTAAATATATCATCATGTCATGATCCGAGCACGTGAAGTTTCGGTCAATCTTGAAAAGTAAACATGACACGTTGTGTTAATGATCAGCATGGGTTCCTCCACAATCATGAGCTGTATTAAAAAAACAAAATAAGCTCAGGTGTGATTAAAAAAATAAAATGATTAAAAATAGTCTAATTCAGGTACTTACACGTTATGATCTCAAGTTTTCAGAACCTAACCCTATGTCCAGAGAAGTGAGCTAAGAGACTTGAGTACGGCACCCCTCGGGTATGGCCTCGTGGGGCTATCTAGCTAAGTAAAAGAGTAGCGTTAGGCTCCACGTGCCGTGAACATGCAGCCGCTCAGCGAATCTGGGGAGAGTTAGGTGACAGACTGGCGCTAAGGCAAGGCCCCGATATCAACTGGACACGACCAAAGCACGATGGGTGTGTAATTGGGTCACAGTGAACTTGTACGAGGCTCTTGATGGGTGTGATCAGCCACAAGAACCACATACGCCGATAAGGACGCGTCAACCAAATGAGGACAGGAATGAATAAATGTAGCATTTCTGCTTTCTATTCTTATGTGTACAGTCCGTTTGAGACAAAATGATACCGATTAATTGCAATCTAGCACAAAAACAAATAGGCATAAAAAAGAATCAAACCAACGCGGACTGCAATAAAAACAACAGACCAACTCAAGATAAAATTTGCATAATTTGTGTCAAAAATATAAAAGTTGTTTAAGAAACTGTCATCATTTATTTGTGCGTTTTCCAAGTTTGTTACAAAGGGCGCATTGGCAACTTAAGGAACAGCGCGAATAGCGAGATGCACGTGCATTGTGATTACTGCTGATCGACAAAGTGAGAGAAAATGAAAGTCTATAATTTACAAAGTCTATGATTTCTTCAAGGATGAAAATGACGGGGGTGACCCAGGTATGCAATTACTAAGTACATACAGCGCACTGCCTGTGCAGCTGGGGTACGTGTCATCTCGCCAGCTCAAAAATTTGTTGAGAACCCGTTAATTATAGACTTTCATTTTCTCTCACCTGTCAATCAGCAGTAAACACATGTTTCTGACGTCACTAATGCACGTGCATCTCGCTTTTCGCGCTGTTCCTTTAGTTGCCACTGTGCCCTTGTAACAAACTTGGGAAACGCACAAATAAATGATGACAGTTTCTTAAACAACTTTTTATATTTGTGCTGGCAATTAGATGCCTGACTCTGAGGGTGTGGGGCTCGAAATCCCGGATGGAACAAAATGTACTTTAGTGAGAATGCCAAATATAACACAATTATGTGGCAAAGTGTAGATTTGAACAACCATGAAGTTCATATTTTTTACTTATCTATTGACAACAAATGTCTTAAATATTTTGTTTGTTGATGGAAGTTACACTTTGCAAGTCCTCAGATGTACACAGTATGCACGATGATTCAAAGCGTAAACCTTCTTAAACTTAAAATCCATCAAACTGTCCTTTCTAACCTAATTTCATAATCAGAATTTGTGCAATGAAAACATGTTATTGCACTGAAATCTTTCATTAAATATCAGTACAAAAGTAGTCAACAAGTATTTCATCACCCACAGCAGGTTTTGGGATAGCCCGGAGGTGGCTCGAGTCGCTATTCGCATTTTGCCGAAGAACATGTCCTTCTATCGATGCTACATGCGAAAATAAGGCAAACCAATCCGAATGACTATAACTCCGGTCAAAGAAGGTATGATGGTACTTACAAAATACATACAAGCAACGTGGTGGTGGCGTAGCCTAGTGGTTAAAGCGTTCGCTCGTCACGCCGAAAACCGGGTTCGATATCCCAAATGGGTACGGGTGAAGTCCATTTCTGGTGTCCCCAGCCGTAGTATTGCTAAAAGCGGCATAAAACTATACTCAGTCACCAACTCACTCATCACCCACAAGTTCCTTCTACGTACTTGACTGATGTTAATCCCCTTTAAT